TGCCCAAGATCCCAAGAGGAGAATGGAGGAGAAGGGATTGCAGCGTGGCCATCCCCTCTGGGGGGTGATTTCTCACTTTCTGTCTCTCAGTCTCTCCGGCAAGTGCACACACCCTATAGACAAAATAGCTCTTAAAAAGTTTAATTGTGGGGAACCAGCAGTTAGCGTAATGGCTATGTCGCTGGACTCCCACGTAGTCGACCGCGGTTCGTGTCCCGGACCCGGTGGCTTAAAACTCACGCCAGGCGCGTGTGCGTGCGTGCCCAAGATCCCGAGAGGAGAATGGAGGAGAAGGGATTGCGGCGTGGCCATCCCCCCTGGGGGGTGATTTCTCGCTTTCTGTCTCTATGTCTCTCTCTGTCTGTCTGGCGAGCGCACGCGCCCTATAGTGAAAAAAAAAAAAAAAAAAAAAAAAGCCAGGTCCGTGTGTGGCATGCCTAAAATCCCAAGAGAATGAAGAAGAGAGGACCGTGGCATGGCCACCCCTCTGAGGGGTGCTCATTCATTTCCCCCTGCTCTGACACTCTCTCTGGTGAGTGCACACGCACCCTATAGCAAAAAGAAAAAGAAAGAAAAAGTCGAGCTCTCAGGAAATAATAACGAACTGTCTCATGACGGGTTTCTCCTCAGGATATCCCGGTGAACAGAGAGTTCGAGGACCTCGTTAGCTCAGTGAAGGCCACTCTTCCCGGGCTTTCCGTAAAGATGGCTGCTCGCAGAGTGGAGTTTAAAAAACAGCTGCTGCCAGTCTTCAGCCCATCCCCCCCAGCGCCTGCCCCTAAATGACTTTGGAGCGTGGCGTCCTGGTCTTCTCCAATCAGCCATGGCGACTTCCAAGTGGAGGGCTCTTTGAGACACGATGCCATCCCACCCCTTGATGTGTGCTGAGTTCCCGCATCGGCTGGCTGGTGGGCAAGCCCTCTGGAGGTGGTCTTGGCGATGACTCAGACAGCCATACCCCGCTCTGCACCACGGTCCCTGCGCTAACCCACACATTCACGTCACACGAGCAACTACTGTGTGCTGCGCACCGAGCTGGGTACAGGATCCAAGATGCTCTCGCAAATCCCTTCCTCCAGATGTTCATGTACTGGTGACCTCAGGAGACTATTAAAATATTAAAAAAATGCGGGGTCGGCAGGTGGCATGGTGGTTAAGATGCTGGACTCCCATATGGCCAACCGCGATTCGAGTCCCCAGACCTGGTGGCTTGAATCTCACACTGGGCGTGTGTGTGTGCATGCCCAAAATCCTGAGAGGAGAAAGGATGGTGGGGTGGCATCTCCCTGGGGAAAGGTGATTTCTCACTTTTCCTCTCTCTGTCTCTCCCTGTGGTGAGTGCATGTGCCCAGTGGCAAGAATTAAAAAAAAAAAAGAAAAGAAAAAAAGATTGATGTCCAAAGATATTCATCAAAATGCTGTTTGTTGGGACCAGCAGTTAGCGTAATGGCTGGGTCGCTGGGCTTCCACGTAGTTGACCATGGTTCACATCCCAGACCCGGTGGCTTAAAACTCATGCCGGGCGCGTGTGCGTGCACGCCCAAGATCCCGAGAGGAGAATGGAGGAGAAGGGATTGCGGCGTGGCCATCCCCCCTGGGGGGTGATTTCTTGCTTTCTGTCTCTCTCTGTGTGGCGAGTGCACACACCGTATAGCAAAAATCTCTAAAAAAAAAATGCTGTTTGTCATAATGGGAGTTGGAAGTGACCTCAATGCCAAATAACAGCAGGTGGTTAACACGATTTTTGGAGCTCTGCAAACACACACAAAAAAGCCACGGGCTTGGCCGGCGGCGGTGATGCAGTGGTAACGAGCTGCTCTGTGATGCTGAGACCACACGCGAAGGTCTCCCTGCATACACTGCGCATGCCTGTGATCTGCATGACTGAGGCGGGGGACGGACTGCAGCAGGGAGTCCCTGTTGGAGATGCCTGTTTCTCTCTCTCGGAAGGAATAACTAAACTTTTTTTAAAAGCCACATACTCAAAGAACATTTAACAATTTATGGATATACACAATTAATGCTAAGTGAGAAAATTAAGGATTAAAAACTAACATGGCAGGACCAGCAGTTAGCGTAATGGCTATGTGGCTGGACTCCCATGTAGTCAACTGTGATTCGAGTCCCGGACCCGGTGGCTTAAACTCATGCCAGGCGCATGTGCGTGCGTGCCCAAGATCCCGAGAGGAGAATGGAGGAGAAGGGATTCTGGTATGGCCATCCCTCCTAGGGGGTGATTTCTCGCTTTCTATTTCTTTGTCTCTCTCTGTTTTTCTGGCAAGCGCATGTGCCCTATAGCTAAAACCTCTCAAAAGGAAAAAAATAAAAACAAAAAACAAAGAACTACATCATCTACCTTGAACAGGTGCAGCAGGAGAAGGCTAAGGGCACAGCTGTCTATGCGGGCACTCGCCCCAGCAAGGTGGTGATCGTGAGCCTAGAACTGGACAAAGATTGCGGCAAGGCCCTTGAATGGAGAGCCAAATCTTGCCCAATTGGAAAGGAAAAGGGCAAATATCTGAAACAATCAAGAAGATCCAGGAGTAAAATAATCTTATACACAGATTTCATTAAACACTGCTAAAATGGGGGTGGGGTGGGGACACTGCGTTAGGTGAAAGACGGCAGTCGCCGGGTCACACACTGTACGGTGTATACATGAAGGGTCTGGATAGGCAAATCTACAGACAGGAAGGCTATAGGTCGCCTAGGGCTAAGGACATGAAGGGATTCAGGGTCGACAGCTAAAGGATTTGGGTTCCTTTGAGAGATGATCAAAATGTTCTAAAATTGTGATGTTACATAATTCTGTAAACATACTGAAACCCATTAATTGTACATTTTATTTAAAATTTTTCCTTTATTCAAGATATGCTGAGTAGGGACCAGCAGTTAGTGTAATGGCTATGTTGCTGGACTCCCATGTAGTCGACCACAGTTCGAGTCCCAGACCCGGTGGCTTAAACTCACGCTGGGCACGTGTGCGTGTGTGCCACCCAGTCTCTGGTATTTTGCTATGGCAGCCTGGAGCTGACAAATACAGCAGGATTCACTCTCCCGGGGAGGAGAGAGGGAGGAAAGGCCATGACCTCCTCTCCGCTTCCCCAGCTCTCTGTACAACTCCCTCCATGTGACAGTGCACTTTCTCCTGTGACAAAGCACTCTTCCTAAGGGCAGACCGGATGGTGCCCTTCGCAGGCTCCCCAAGCTCACAGAAAAGTCTCAGCTGCTGGATCTGGGGTGTCCTATTGCACTGGATGAGCTCCCTCTGTCCTCCAAGGAGGAAAATGTTAGGGCCTACTCCACCATGCTCTTGGGAGACCTCCCAACCAGGTGTTGAGTTCTGGTCATGAGTTGGGATCCCCCAACTAAGCCTGATCCCTGCATTCCTCCCTTGACTCTT